ATCAAAAGTAAACCTTAGTTACTATAGTTGTAGAATCATGTATGCGTGCACATTTAGGTAATAAGTACAGTTACTAACCACACATACTATGAACCACAGTTGGGTATATTTTATTCGAACAACTAATAACGCGAATAACGAATAAATCTGTCAAATTTATAACGATTTTATTCGAGGAAAAATTATTCGTTATTTACGAATAACGATTTTATTTGAACAAAGATTATTCGAACATGACTTTATTCGTTATATGGAGTTCAATGATGAGAAAATGTAGCCGTATATCGAATTGATTATTTCGAGGTTTCACAAAAAATGGGTTCACAGCCTCTTTTCTTCAGCCACAGTTGGGCATTATTCGAATAAAATTTTATTCGAAGAATTTATTCAAAACATTACTCGAATAAAATTTTGTTCGACAAATTTATTTGAAATGTTATTCGAATAATGCCCAACTCTGCTATGAACATTATATTATATAATAAAAGGAAGAAGTACTAAAGTTGCTTATGAAAATATTCCGAAATTAAATTTCCGACGTTCGAAAAGTTGTCGATATTTGAAATGTTATGAATAATTTCGTAAAAAGAAATCACGCAACAATCAACCCTCAGTTTGAAACTTGAAGTCTCTACTTTTAAAAGGTTGCCTTAAAATCTTTATTTTTCAGCCAGACTAACTTATTGTGATGAAATTCGAAAACATTCTCCTCTTTATTCTCGTTTCTAGTCTTATTTCTGCTTGTAGAATTACTTCATGGTTAATTTTAGCGTGATGTGGGAAATACTCTTGGGAAATACATTTTTAACAGTTAAAGAGTTATTCATTTCATTTCATTTTATTTCATTTAATCTCAAATCTTCATTTGTATTTCACGTATTAATGATTCCTTAGATAAACGACGATTTTATTATTGTATACTGGTCCTCAAAAATCAGTCTATTCGAGTATAATAATATACTGCGAATTACAATAATATAATTCGACTATAAAGTAAATACTGTTACAAAAATACATTGTAGATTCAGTCGTGAAAAAAATTCTCCAATGTTTTCGTATACTATGAAAATTTATAGCATCTTGGAAAAGAAAGAGCTATAAATTTTTTTTGCTGATATCTCCTACATAATGTAAAAACATTTTGGAATAAAACCAACAGAGCATTCTGGAAATAGTGGCTTCAAGTTTCAAAATGAGTCTAACAAAAAGTTTATTATTGTACAATTTCTGTTTACAAAATTGTAACAATTTGAATATTTAGTACCCGAACATTTAAATTAATTAATTCGCTCTTACATACATACTAAGTAACAAACGAAGTAATAGTAAAAAATTAAATACTTAGATAGTAATAATTAAGTACTAATGAAACTCATTATTAATTCATTCTTGATAAATGAAGGACTGTCGAATTGCACGAACATAGAATCATTTTATAAATCATTATATAGAAATATTTTCTATAAAAGTTAGCGGAAAAGAAAATAATTGTTGCTCAGTTTTAAATTGATAAGTAAATATAAATTTAAGTAGAAATTTAGTTTCATTGAGAAATTATCAAGGTAGAAAGTAAATAAAAAGGAAAGATTATTATACGAATCTGTGTTTATACTTGCAACGCGAAATCATATTATAGTGACTTTGAAATTTTTCCAAGATTATGACACAAAGCGATAAAGTCTGAAAAAAATCGTGTATGTCCATAGATAAAGTATATATAAAGTATATCACTACATTTGATATAGTATGGCTGCAATTGATATTGAATTGAATGAGAAATAAATGCTTACAGTATTCGCTTATAGGCAAACAGATCTAGAATAATTATAGAATAAGAAACTTTTAATAACGAATATTAAATTTTTGGACGAATCAAGTGTGTAATTAACCGTCAGAGATATCATTTCTGGTTCAGAGTTGACTTTCACTGGTTCAGAGAACATAATTTTCACGAAAAATTTACAATACACAATTACTGTTGGTTGAACCTAAATTTCTGATGACAAAGACATCTGAAGATCATAGTATAGTAGGTCGTTAAATTCGCTTTTTCAGAAGCAATAATTCTGCGAGGTCAAAAATACACGATGCCATTTAAAAAAAATCAATGTGACCTTAATTTTTTATCGAAGAAAAAGTTTTTGGAATTTTTTATATTGTATTTTATAGCCAACCAGAAAGTGATTAGTTTTTGTTCAAAACATTATTTGTCACACAATCAGAGGTGCCTGAAAAATCGTGACGACAGTTACGTGTCACACTCTGTATGTGTCATAAAAAGTGACTGTGCATATACAAGATGGTAGGTAACAAAATAAAAAAAATTGTAAGATAAAGAAGATAAATATACATTGTAAGTAATCGTAAAAATGTGAGGTTATCATTATGACTAGATACAAAAGTCACAGAATTCTTTTCGACTGATTGGATGACGATAATTGCCTTTAGGAAAAATCAAATTGGTAATCGAAGACACGTTGGCGACTATCGCTATTCAGATGAAAATGGATATGTAATGTAGAACCAAATATAGAACGTATTATTAAAAGACTCTAATAGCTTACGATTAAGTTAATATTCTTGTTAAGAACATACATTTCATAGATTTTCCTGGACTTTGTAGCCACCCAAATTAAGTCAAAATTAATTTCAATAATACTTCATGCAGAGACACTTTGCAGAATATCGTGCCAAGAAATCAAGATTTTGCAATTAGAAATTACAAAGTTACATCAACTTTTGAGTATTATAAGCGAATATATGCGATCAGAAAATAAGCATGTTATACAATCGTACCGAGAAGGTTAATTATTATAACATAAATATATTTTTTGATACAAATATTTTGATAAAATACTCAAGCTAACTCTCTTCGCAACTATGAACTTTGTTGCCTACTGCATTGAATGAAGAAGATTTATGTATGCTAGTGAACAGAACATAAAAATATTATTATCATATTTTACATTATGTTAATATATATTAATACAGATCTATTTAATAATAGTAGTTATATAGTATTATATTATTAATTAATAAAATGACAAAAATATTTAATTACCATAAATTTTATAATTATTAAAAATAAAAAAAGATTCATTCTCAAGAAGATTTATTATAACAATAAATTAATCAATGATGAAATGGAAGAATACTCAATTTCATAAGCAATAATGATAAAAAAAGGTTAAAATAAAATATTGAAATCTTGAGTAATAAAGCACGTAAACTTCCTTTCCTTTCGTTTTCCGTTGAGCTTGGAAATATATAAGAATGAAGAAGGGAATAGAAGAATTTATGTTAAAATGTACATTTTGGGTTAGGTTTGGGTTAGGTTTGGGTTATTATTACAAGCAGAATTAAAGAGTTGAGGCAGCATTGAATGTTTGTGTTCATTACTTAAAATACGATTATAATGGAAACGAATGAAATTACTAGCACACTTTAAGATCATTATGCTTTTCGAATTGAAAATTTCGTATATTATACATAAAAATATTTATATAAAATTCTATCTATAAAAATATTTATGAATGTATTTCCATCTGTTTCTACCGTATTCATTCCCTGCATGTTAAGAAAACTTTCAAAAGAATTATTTCAGTGATTGAAAATCACTTTATAAAGTAAATTTTTTGGAATGGCACCATATACTTTCCTTCACCATATGTTTGTATTTTATAAAAAGTTGAATTGAGAGATGTGATAACATACATTTACTTATTTATTTATTATTATTAAGTCGCCTTAACTTCACAAGAATCCTCGAGAAGTCCTCGAGACTATGTTTGTTATATCTGTGGTACATTTGTTAAATTTATAACAAGTACGTGCGATATTAGGTGATTAGGAACGAGTCAATTTCATATGTGCAATTATCAGACGGATTAGGAATTTTCAATCGTGATAATAAGTTGCTTTCGTAAATATTGCTTCTTATGGTAAGAATTCTTGAAGATGCACGAATCCAGTTTCTAATAGACATTCTTTCGATTAATTTTTCAATTAAAATTTTTTTGGAATCTCTAAGAGAGTTCAGAATATTTTGGATAAACATGATTGAAGCAGATTTGACCATTTTGTCAGCAGTTCCATTGCGCACGATGCCTACGTGAAATAAGATCGCATATTCGAAACTCTTAAAATAATAATTGCTCTTCATCCTTAAATTTGTCAAAAGTCGTTTTGGAATCGCCAAATTGGAATAAACGTATACAAAATGTACATTTGCACTATACCGACTTCTGGCGCAAAAGAAATTACAAATCACCTAAAATAAAATTCGCTTTTATTAATTTTTTAGAAAATAAATATATAATCTCTAATGGTTTAAACAGTTTCATAGGAGCCATTGGAATTTTTGATATTAGGAAAATTTTTTATAATATTAAAATTCCATTTTTTCTAGCTAGCAGTGCATCACGGGATATCCCATAGTGTTAAACCCACTTCTGATATGAAACAGTATTCTCTCAACTTCTATCCTTTTCCTCTTCCCTATCATTACTTTACTTTTTTTTTGTACCATTCACTCCTTCTATCCTACCTCAATATTTCTTTTCCCTGCCCCCTTAAACTTTTCTCTTTCAACTCCTGCTACTTCATCTTAATATTATAAGTAAATATTAAAATATTAAATAATAAATATTAAAATATAATAATGTTAGAACAATATCTTTAATATTTTTAAGATTAAACATGGTTACATTCTATATTGTTGTTCTAGATTATTCTTACACATTTTCCCTTCATCTAATTTTCACCCCATTTTCTACAAATTTTTTTACAGCAAACCATTAACAATAACTTATAGACAAGAAGATCTTGCTATTTAGGAATTGCTATCTGTTGAGACAAGAAAAAAATTTCACTCACAAATAAAAACAGTTTCGTATCTATATTACGTATATTTAAAAAGGGGAAATCAAATCGATATACTATCTTATTTTGATAGTTGATCTACTATCTTATTTTTTTATAAGAAAATCCGGATTACTATAGAAAATTTCCTTGAATGTCTCTGAGTATCATAAAAACCGGGACAAATCCGGTCAACTGGCAGTTCTATTCATGAAACATATCTGTAGCAAGTTTTGTATCACGCTGACGTCGTATCCTACAATGATAACGTGAAGATAACGCCGCATGGGCAATGTTCACTGTTTTATATTGGTTGCGACAAACGTTCATTACTACATATGTACGTGTACGTGACGACTAGTGATTCTTAAATTACGAGTGCGACAAGTTTCTTCTACACAATTGCATGTCATCAATTTCCATCGTGTATGTTTGTATGAACATTTAAAATAATGCATTTACGCTTCACAAATGTTAGTTTCGCTTCGCACTTTATCAGTAGTTCAGCAGCATCTGGCTATAGCTTAAAAATCTTTTTAGAGACTACTAAAAAATGTTGTGTCATAAAAAAAAAAAAAAAAAAATAAACTCATTCGATATCTCGAAAAATGTAAAACATCGAAATATTAAAATAAAGATAAATTTTATTTTTATTTAGTAATAATTAATTTATTCGAAATTTCATTTTCAAGAATTATATGTTTATGAAAATTAGATATAAAATTGTAGCTATTTCTTTTATTGTTCATATAGGAATTATATTAATAAGAAAAATTTTATTAACAAAATTAAGATACAAAATATATTTAAGATTAATAACAATATTAACAAGATGATTTTTATGTCGCTTTTTATGAACTTTCCGTTCAAGTCATTTGGAATTTTCATGGTTAACTGAAGGATTTTCTGAAAATTTGTTATAAAATCATGTATGTATCGATATCTATTATATATATTATAGATATCTTTTAATATATATATTATGGATACTACGTTTCATTAGATATATTATAGGTATGTTTTTTTCATTCTGTTATATATGTCTTTATAGTATATCATCATGATTTATACTTGTGTACAATATCAGCTACATTACAAACACAGTTTTGTGATTAAAGTAATCACTGACTAATTCAAAATAAAGATGGATTATTATTGTCTATTAATTAGACTGTGGATCTTGTGCATTATGGAAAATTTGCATAGTACTATGCAAAAGTACATAAAATATCGAAAGTAGTATATTTGTTATAATGTTCAACAGTGGACAAAAATTCCATTTTAGAATCAGTTTTTTAATTTGTGTTTATAGTAGCAAGAAATTGCACAGCGATCCGCATATTTATTTATAGTCAATAATAGTACAATACTATTAGCATTTATAACGTTGACTTTTTTACAACATTCTGTAAAATCTTTTCAGATTATTTTCTTCGCTTACCATACTTTACGCTGTGTTACATTATTTTCTGAAAGTCACACTAAGCGGCAAATAGTGGCTCAACTAATTGTAAGTACTATTTATTTAATTTATCATTCAGTAGGATACGATGTATTTAATTTATTGCTATCTGAGAACATTCATATATATTTATCAAAATAAAACTCTTTTTACAGATTGCAAAGCGATTACACTCTACACCAGAGTTCAAGCAATTTACTAATATTCAAAAGAAAGACATTTTACTAATATTCAAAAGAAAGTCAATAAATTAAGTAAATAGCATGTCTACATCGGCTACTAGGAAATCAAAAATTTGGAAATATTTCCATCACATCGATCGTGACAAAACCTTTAGTAAAGCCAAATGTACACTTTGTGATTATAGTACAGATTACAATGGAAATATTAGACCTTTGCGGAAGCACTTGTATCAGCATATAGATCAGATTAAAGAGCTCGAGGAGGACAGTGAAGACTCAAATCTCAACGTATCGAGTCATAATTGCACAGAGAAAACGGGGAACGCCGCGACTATCATCGAAACAGTGGATTCAACCGCAAGTAACTACGATTACTACCGTGATTTGATGAATGCGGAGATCATGCGTCAGGCAAAACTATTATTCCAAGCACCAGCGATTGAAAAAGATTCACCCAACTCAATCGGCGCCTTCGTCAAAGACACCAGAACCTATCTCGACTCACTGAAATCGTCAAATATACCGGTCGACACGTGGGAAATGATTTTACACATACGTCCAAAACTGTATGGAAATACGGATCTATATTACAACAAAACATTAAAATCAGACGACATTCCTACATTGAATCAACTACTTGAATTCTTAACTGAGCGAGCAAGGTGTGATATGACAACAAACTATTCCATTCCAAACCACGAACAAGCAAGCAATTCACAACGTAGCTCTGCACAAGACATCCGGCGGAAACAGTCAAACTTTTTTACCGATTCGCGATACGAACGGAGTTCATCCCCTCGACCCTCGACATCGCAATCACAGACAATACACCAATCATCCCGCTCTTCAACACCGCAGTCTTCGACAACACGCCCAGTATCTTCGCTCCCTTCAACTCCTGGTCCTTTGATACCACACCCATTACCTTTGCGCCCTTCATCTCCTCGTCATTCCACAATACGCTCATCGTCATCTTACTCACCATCACGTCGGTTGCGATCTCCAATTTTAACGAGAAGAATAGAATGCCCCATTTGTGAGACAAACGAGCATCGCATTTACCATTGCAAAAGATTTCGCAAATGGCCAGTGTCACAACGTCTTCTAATGGTGAATTCCTATTTGCTGTGTCCGAATTGCCTAGGACGTAACTATCATACTTCGACCTGTAGATCAAAAAAATGCCGGAAATGCCATCAACGCCATCATTCTCTTCTCCACACTGACAATCATCCAATCACACAATAGAACATACGTCACTATCAGCCATCACACCAACTACCGAATTAATGACCACAGTATTCCTCAAGGTACGCGCAAACAACGGAGATTGGACAAACTTGTAGAGTTTTTTTGAATACATGCTTAACAACTGTATAACATGCCCAACTTTATAACAGAAGAGTTAGCCAACACGATTCGCGCCCCAAAACAGTATTGCTCAATTCCAATCGGAGCGATGAACGAACTAAGCACAACATGCATTAATACAACAACTCTACCATCTCTTCTCGGTATACAGGTATTGAGGAAACACTTGAATTTCTCATAATATCTCTAATTTTCATCCGCGTTCCAAACGAACCCATCAGCACCAACATATTCTCTCTCTCAGCATTCCTTCAAATATCAAATCTAGCTTAGCAGATCCCATCTTCCACAAACTTTCTCCAGAACAAGTGTTAATCGGGACCGGACCAACGCTCTCTATCTTCAGTATCGGTCAACTCAACATCACCAGCAAGGGATCTTATCTTCCAAAAACCACAGTTGGTCTGAATAATCGGGGGCAGCGTATATCGCATAACGTGTCATCAAGTCAACATTGCCATCTTACAAACATTTAGAACAAAAACCTCGCCAAGTTTTGGATTCTTGAGGAAGTACCAAGCAAGCCTCATCCTTTCAACGAAGAAACGGAGTGTGAAAAACATTTTGTCAAAAATGTCACACGAAACAAAGAGGGAAAATACGTCGTGGCATTGCCATTCAAATCTACTAAAGGTCAAACAGGAGAGTCACATCGTCAATCCCTTCGTCGTTTCTTAGCCCTAGAACGAAAATTAAGGGCCGATCTAACATTAAGGACCGCCTATCAAGAAGAATACAATTGAAGAATAGATCAAACTCGGACACATGACGAAAACCGATATAGACAATAAATAAGGCGATTAGATTCCATCTGCCACATCACGCAGTGATAAAACAATCTAGTCAGATTAGCAAAGTCCGAGTTGTCTTTGATGGATCAGCAAAGTCATCCACTGACATATCCTTCAACGAAATACTAATGTTCTGTCCCACACAAGTCCCATACAAGACGACATTATTCCCCTAGTTCTTCGCTTTCGACCACACAAATATGTTCTGACAGGAGACATCGAAAAAGTGTATCGCCAATTTCTTGTGCGGAACTAAGATCGCATATACCAAAAGATTATTTGGCGGGACGAGGAAAGCAATTTCAATACATACAACTTAAACACAGTCACATTTGTTTGCAGCTCCATTTTTGGACACTCGACGTCTCAAGCAATTAGCCGACGAGGGAGCACATCACTTCCCAGCAGTCTCCGAAACGCTGAAAAGAGACACGTGCGTCGACGATCTTATTACTGGTGCCAACACTCTCGATGACACGAACTAGTTATGTGATGAAATCATCCAGCTTCTACACCGAGATGGGCTGAATATTCGCAAATGGGCATCCAACGAACGCTCGATACTATCTGGATTATTGGAGACCAGTGTGAAACTATCATTAAATCTATTCAACGACAACACCATTAAGACACTCGGCATTTTCTGGGAATCGTCACACGACCGTATTGTATATTATGTTCAACGCGCAACAAATCACAAATTAATAATCAAACGTACCATTCTAGCCGATGTTGCAAAAGTCTATGATCCGCTTGGCTTACAGAGCTCCGTGGAAATATCCGCAAAAATTGTGGACGTTGAAACATTGCACTGGGAAGAATCCGTACCTCTCGACATCCATACCTACTGGACAACATATCATAGACAACTAGGGGCTCTCAACAATCTATCGTTTCCTCGCAAGGCAATTGTGAATGATGCTGATGACATACAATTTTGCCAGCGAAAGGGCACATGGTGCATGCATATGTATCAGATCGCATTCATCGACTTATGGAACACAATGGACTTTATTCTGCGCAAGATCAAGAGTGACTCCGTTGAAGATTGTATCTCTCCCTCGTTTAGAACTATGCGGAGCACTTCTCCTACCGAAACTATAAGAATCTGTTACTCAAGCTATACAATCAAGATCAAGAAAGCAATTTTCTGGACTGATTTCACCATAGTACTACATTGGATTCATACACAACTATCGTCATTAAAAATTCTCCTGGAAAACCGTACAGCAGAAATCAAAGAAAGGACTCCACCTGAACGATGGAGACACGTTCCGCCGGAAAGCAGTCCAGCTAATGCAGTATCAAGAGGACTATTACAAACCGAAATCACGAACCAGAAGATTTGACAATCTGGACCATTATGGTTAATACAGGACGAATCTAGTTGCGCACATCTTCGGCTACAATTTTCAGACACCATCCCGGACAAACCCTGTTTCCAGACAGAAACTCGTCACAATCCCTAACTTCTCAGATACTCTGAATTTACAAAGTTCGCATCACAGCCCGTTGTCGCCGAATTGTAATGATCGTAGTTCGAACGAGAGGAAGTTACCAAAACCATCATGAAGCAACTACAAGAAGAAACATTCCAGCGCAGGTTACATGACCTACATCGAGACGTTTCAAAACAGAAGCAAACTGACCACCTTAAACTCATTCCTGGATAAAATGGAATCATTCGATTTGGAGAACTCATTACCTAGACAAGCTTGACTTATGATGCAAAACATCCAATGGTTATACAAATCACACCAAGTAACAGGCCTAATCATTCGTCATTATCATGACCAAAACTTCCATGAGGGGGAACAAACAACACTACACCATATCAGACAGAAATATTGGCTCTTGGACGGAAGAAATCAAACCAGAAAAATTATTCGAAATTGCATAAGAATTCATTCGGAGCAGTGCCACCGACCACGCAGTACCTTGTGGGAGATTTACCGGCTGTCAGACTAAATACAGCACCATTCTTCACCAACGTCGGCATCGACTGCTCCGGGCCACTCTATATCAAGGAACAATTGGCAATCAAAAATTGGCAATAAATGGCGTATCAAGGTATACGTCGCCGTGTTCGTATGCTTAACTATACGGGCTGTGCACCTTGAACTCACTATCACCTAAGCACCGGAGCCTTTATTGTAGCTAGTCTAAAAAGATTCATCGCCAGACGAGGAAAATGCAGAAAGACTTATTCCGACAATGGCATCAAATTTGTCGGTGACAACAATGAGTTACAAGACCTTTAAAAACTACTCAACACAAAGCTACACCAAGAACAAGTACACACATTTCTCAGTAATAAAGCCATAGAATGGCATTTCACTCCTGCCTAGTCCCTAAACTTCGGCGGATTGTGGGAATAAACGGTGAAATCCTTTAAACATCATCTGAAACTTGTGAGCAGTAATGGACTATTCACTTATGAGGAGTCTGACACATTCATCACACAAATCGAGTCCATACTGAACTCAAGACCCATCATCATCATGTTTTCTGATCCTAATGATCTTCAAGCACAACTCCCGGCCATTTCTTAATCGGCAGACCTCTGACAGAACTACCGGAACACGATTTCAGCAACACCCCAACAAACAGGCTCTGCTCTTGAAAAAAGACGAAGAAAATGAATGAGGAATAGTATGATGTGTGCGTCGAAGGTGAGATAAATAAAAAAAAACGCTGTATGCGCAGATGTAAAGTAATTTTTTAAGTGACGCTTATCCGAATTGTTTTTCCATAATGTTCATGACGTACATACGTAACATCTAGTGAATGTTAAATTGAGTGCGATAAGTTTTTGTCTACACAAATGCGTCATCAACTTCCATCGTGTATGTATATAGTATGAACATTAAAAATAATAAATGCAGTTACGCTTCACAAATGTTAGTTTCGTTTCACACTTTATCAGTTCATCTGGCTATAGCTTGTTAAAAATCTTTTTAGAAAGTACTAACAATGTGGGTCATAAAAAAAAAAAGAGAAAACAAGATCGATATCTCGAAAAATATGACATCAAAATATTAAAATTAAGATAAATTTTGTTTTTATTTAATAATAATTAATTTATTTGAAATTTTATTTTTAAGAATTATATGTTTATGTAAATTAGATGCAAAATTAATTATAGCTATTCCTTCTATTGTTCATATAAGAATTATATTAACAAGAATAATTTTAATAACAAAATTTAGATTATATGGGTAATATTATATAATAATTAAACATGGATTTATTTCTTCTGAATTATTTTATTTAATTAATTTAACTTATATTTAAACTAATGGACGATTAATTTTTATTATAAAGATATAATGAATCTTATACCTTCATTAATAATAATATGATTTACAATATGTTTATTTAATGTAGGTTTTCCTTTTTCATTAAATTTAATTAGAGAAATTTTATTATTAATAAGTTTAATTTTTTAAATATTTATTTATTATATTAAATTGTTTATCATTTTTTATTTATGTAGTATATTTATTTACATTTATTCAACATGGAAAATTCAATAAATTTTTAAATTTTTAATTGTAAATTAATAAATTTATTAAGATTATTAATAGACTTATTTCCTGTAAATTAATTTTTTTTAATTTAATAATTTATTTAAAAAGTTTAATAAAAATATTGAATTGTGATTTCAAAGATATATAATTATTTTAAATTATTATAAAAGATATTAATTTTCATAATTATATTATTTTTTTTTAAGTTTAAATGTAATATTATTAAGAACATATTCATCTGATGAGTCTTTTCGAAGATAATACATTTCATTTCAATCTTCTTCATAGAGTCGAGGGAAAATGAATTATTTCAGATGAATGTTTTACTTGTATTGTGCATTTATAAATTTGTGAAGTTGATCAGAGAATACAAAATACATTACTAGATCGTAGGTAAATTTGATATTAATCCGAATTAACTGATAATCTCTGCGGTTTCCATAGTTCTTTTTCAATTAATTGGTTATCCAAAGAAAATGGTTATTAATTTTCCATGGTGTCTTTATGTCAGTTGTATCATCTTCGAATATTATGAAATTATTTTGTAAAACGTGTGCTTTTGCCCGTAATGATTAAAAGTAACTACCTGATTGTTAGTAAAATGTATTTTCTTTCCACATGTTAAAATACTTTTCTCGTTATTTATTCTTCCATATTTAGACTTTGTTTTCGATTAATTTCTTTATTCTCTATAATTACATTTCTTCGTGTATCATAAGATTCTGCCCGTGAATCAAATTTGACGTCTCTAGTTTGTCTTATATTCTCCTTGATTAATTTTTTAACTTAAGCAACTTCTTTTTTATGTTTTCTACCTATTTTGAAACCATTTTCTTTCCATAACATTTCGTTTTAACTTTTTTACTATTTTAAATCTATTTTCTTCTGTAACTTCTCGTTTTAACTTTAAACTATTTCAAAACTATTTTTTTCTATAACTTTTCTATAATTATGTCAAAACTTCAGGAACTATAGGAGATTGATAAACTAACAATAAGAAAGAAAGTTCTTTACAGACATACTCGTTTTTGCTTCATTTCAGAGAAAATCATGAAAAAAGGAACAAAAAAGTTTTTATTTTCTCACTTATTTATCTATATTTATTCGCATTATTATCTATTTTATCATCCATATTATCATTTTATATATACTTCATTAAATAGATGATACATATAAATATATAGTTCAAAATGCTAACTTTTCGTAGCAATGCAAGTTATACCGAACATTAACTATTCTAACTGCAACTAGACATTATTCTAATAATATTTGATGTACCAAATTTTGATCAACAGTTTGATCTCTCAGTTACTCTCTTCAGTTGATTAGCATCGAATAAACTGAACAAGTAAGGAAATGAAAAGTTTTCTTTTCCTTTTTCGCGATTTTTAAGTGGACCGGAAACAAATTTCTAAAGATGCTTTTTCGAGAATTATTTAGAAAAGGGGGAGGGGGTCTCACCGATTTCGACAATTTCTGAAGATGTTGTAGAAATCAACAGTTTGAAGAACTTTTTCCTATGTATGTAACCACCGCTCGGCTTTAAATTCCGAGATTTTTGCAAAAAGCTATTGCTACTACTGCAATGAATATTGCCTATAGTTACGTGTCTGTAGCAGCGTGTGTGTAAGCGTTGAGTCGCCGATTGTGGTTACTATAGATACATTAAGGCGGCCGGGAATGGACGCGTATAATGAATGTACTTAAAAACTATTTGAGTAGCCGGCCGCGGTTATATGTACAGGAAAAAGTTGTTCAAAATGTTGATTTTTTATAACTTATTTAAATATCTTCGAAATCTGTGAGACCACCTCCCCCTTTTCTAAATAATTACTGCTTTTTCTTACAATTACTTTATCGATTTCCTATATATTCCCGATGTTTTGATATTTAAATTTGAGATACCCTGTATATGGCATATCATAGTTGTGCCAGTTAGCACTGATGATAACAAATGCTATCAAAAATGTTTCTTACAGTTCGATCTTATCGACTTTCCAGTGAGAATTATCCATCAACGTCAACCATTGAGCAAAGATGAAAAGATAGACACCGCTACAGCGTTATAATTTACTTATTAGAAAAAATGAAATTTCGCGGCCCTAGAAAGGGAGAAGAGGGACTGCTGAACATAAAATGAATAATAAAAAATAAACATAAGTTAATAATAATAAAATAAACATAAAACTGTTAATAAGAATTTTTATCATTTTCTGAGATATTAATAAAAAACTTTGGGTAAAATATATATATATATATATATATTGAATTCTATCTATACAGACGTGATTGACAATAGTCAACGCTGTATTAGTCATTTTTGATAAGCATCGGATTTATATCATAGTGATATTGGTCTATAAGGTAGTTCATTTAAAATCCGACTTCAATTTTAAGTACAATAGATACGTAGATTCAATAATTACAGTGACTCCCATTAATATTCAAATACTTAAATGTTCGAGCAATTTATGTATATTTCAAGTTTCAATCATATATCACATGTTATAACATTGTAAAAAGAAATCGTAAAATAATAAACTTTTACTTACAATTAGTGTTAGACTATTAGTGTCAAACTCATTTACAATTAGTGTTAGACACATTTTAGAAACTATTACTTTCGTGCACCGTGCGTTCTTTTACAAAATGTTTTTATACTATATAACAGATGATAAAGAGAAAATACTTTTCTTTTCCAAGATGCTCTAAATTATCATAATATATAAAAACGTCGAAAAATTTGTTGAATGAATTTAAAACCTAGGACCACATTTCTATAACGATTTCTCTACACTTGCTGTATGATGCCTTTTCGT